TTTTTTTTTTTGCAGCACACCATAATCACTCAAAGCAGAAAACGCACTTCCTTCATTATACATCGCTTTGAATAATAACATCGTTTTTCAATTCCTAGCGTTAAGTTAAGTTTTTCAAACACTTTTACGCTAAACTTGAAATTAAGTTCATTACATTTTCATTAGAATGTTCCACCAGCCCAGCATAGCGCGACAGCCGGCAGAAGAAAGTAGTGCCGAGGCGCAAAAATTAAGATTTTAAACTGAGCGCACTGCTATAACTTCACGCCTGGCAAAGGGGTTCTGTCGCGCACGGCGCCTGGACAAGCTCAAGTTGCAAGCCACATAAATTATTCGAAGCGATTTTCGCTTCAGAGCAGCGCTGCCATCCCACAGTTGGCTGGTTGTATGTTAGCTGGTGTCACATGGACGACGACAAGTTGGAAGACGGCAGCGCGCGTAACGCCGTGGCTGTGCGGCAAAGTGTCGCGATGTGCCGCCTAAATGGCAAAATACAATTATGATGTTGTTAGAGCAAAGGCGTGCTCTGGCTCATCCCGTTCGGCTGAGCTCGATGGTGGCGTTACTTGCTTGTCACCACGATATAGTGTTGCGCCATAATTTCTTTAATGGCCGACATATGCCAAGCGATTAATTTAGAATAGCGAGCGGCCGCGAACCATTTGCTACTTTTTGTCTCTTGTGCTTTGCTTGTCGTCTTTCATATACCGAATTTTCGCTATTTTCCTGGGTAGTTTAATTTTACCTTTTCTTTATAGGCAGTTTATTAATTTTCAAGGTTGAAAACAAATTGAACTGAGCAGATTTAAGCTGAAGGTCTATAGCAGGTTTTTCAGGCGTTGTGGCTTTCGACGGTCAAACCTGAAAAGATGATTTAGTCAATGATGTAATGATAGCACTTTCCGTGTTTTAACAGAATTTACACAAAATTTGGCAATAAAAAAGGAAAAATATTTATTACATGAAAAAAAGAATCATTTATCACTTTTATCGAAGATGCAGTTTTTAGGTATTATTCCTACACTTTCGGGTATTTGTCAATAAAATAAACTATGTAACTTGCCAGTAAATTATTTACCACGTATTTAAAAAAAAAAAACATCTTTTTAAGTTTCAAAAAGAGAAAATACATAATTGCTTAATTAATCATAACCCCGATTAAACAAAAGACATGATTAATTAGATTCTGATTAATCAGATCCAGAGTAATTACGGTTTACTCCTAAAAAATTAATTGAAATCTGAGTCATTTTGCTCATTTCTTTCGAGTTCGCTTTCAAAGCAAATTAATTTTGTTATCAATCAGACAATAAATTTAGGTACAGCGAAATTTTTACGATACGGCCAACTATTTTTTAAATATTTTATTTTTCGCAAATTTTTTATAAAAATATGGTTAACCCCAAAAATCAGAGTTCCAAAGCTTGTGCAAAATTAAAGAAAGTACTGTAAAATTTCCTTCAAACATTGCACTTTTTATTTACGCTGTCTAGAGTGCAGTCTAATATGCAGTGTTTAGCCCATTAAATTTTAGTATAATAAAGTGCAAGTATGAGGAAGCTAGGACTTGCCATTGACTTTTGGGAAACTTTTTTGTTGAAGGTGTCGCACATTTTTTCCATATAAAAAAATTATCAAACATTATTTTATATGGAGAAAATGAGCGACACCTTCAACAAAACAAATTGCTAAAAATCAATGGTAAGTCCTAGCTTCCTCATACTTGCACCTTGTTATACTAATATTGAATGGGCTAAAAAACTGCGTACTCAACTTTTTTCTAAAGAGTGTAAATAAAAAGTGCAATATTTGAATGCAAATTTGCAGAATTTTCTTTACTTTTGCATAAGGGTCGGAACTCTGATTTTTGGTGTTTTTTTTTTTGTAGAATTCAGCTTCATATTTTTGTAAAAAAATTTGCGAAAAATAAAATAAAAATAAAAAT